AAATAAATAAATGAAATAAAATAAAAAATCAAAATAACTAGCAAGCATTAGTCAAAAGTGTCAAAGTCTTCAAAGACATGGAAAGACTGAGGAACTGTCATACAAGTTCAAGAAGACTAAGGCGACACGACAAGTAAACGCAACATGGGATCCTGGAAGAGAAAAAGGATACCAGGAGAAAAATGGGTGCCAACCAGATAAGTCTGTAATTTAGTGAACATTATCGTATCTATGTTAATTTCTTAGTTTTGTTAATCTTACTATGGTTATGCAAGATGTAACAGTAGGGGAAGGGTCTATGGGAACATTGTATTATTTTTGTAACCTTTAAGTCTATAATTATTTCAAAATAAAATATATACAGTATGATTGAACTATAAAAGAACATTCAATAAAAATTAAAAAACAGACCAGAAAGAAATCAATTATGATACTAATAGTGTATATAAGGAATTGTACTGTCTTAAGAAAAAAATTTTTTCACATCTTCCATAAAAGTGGTTATTTCTATGATAGAACAAAATAATTTAAAATAAAGTAAAAGAGATTGTGACTTACTTTTTATACAGAACACCATATGGTTTTTTCAGTGCATACTGTAAAACATAATTTATAGTTTTCAAAACAAAATACATTCTGAAAAGCAGAGATAAAAATAAAGCATTGTAACAGTCATTCTACAAGATCATTCTGGTCCCTGAATCTTGTTCTGATGTCTTCTGCTTGGCTCCCTTTTGATAATTTACAAATAACCTATAATATAAGCTTAATATTCTACTTAGACTGGACTTGCCTAATTAACGGTTTCTATGCCCTTTCAATAGTCTATCCAACTTAAATGAGTCCCTTCATTTCTTTAAACTCTACCTAGTCCATGCTCTCATAAATTCCTGTTATTCAACCCTCTTCATTTTTTTTCCTACTTCTTACCACCCATTCACTAATAATCACTTATTACTTGTACGGCCAGTACTGCTCTACCACAAGGCAGTATCAAAGATCTAAGGCATTGCCTTGCATTAGAGAAGTGGGTAAATAAGGGAAACAACGAAAAATAAAATGAAATGATCATTCATCAACTATCAGAGCTGGTAAGCAAAGGAATCTACCTTTTTTAAGTGCAAAAACTTTTTGATGATTCTTGGCCAAATCTTTCCCTGTCTCAGTGTGATGAACACTGCCTCCTTTTCTTGACAACTCAAAGTCATCATTATAAATTGTAACTACTGTAATAACCAGGAATACCATACTGCTCTTAAAGCTTACTTAAATATGTAGGGTCATTGTGTTGACGGATACTGGAAGGAAAGGGTCAGTGTCCTATCAACACAATGACATTCAGACAAATTTCAAAAATGGGATGGGCACAAATAAGGCATTCAGATATATGAATTAACTATCACGTTTATCAAGCACTAGGACTTTAGTCAACTTTAAAAATTTATTACATTGCTTAGTTGACTTAAAGAATTCATCTGCTGTACTCGACGTCTAAATATCCAACTACCTGGTAGATATCTCCACATACTATGCCTTTTTTTCACTGATTAAGCATTTATTGAGCACCTACTATGTCCAGACACTGGGCTGGACACCAGGCTATAGAAGTAGGAAAAATCTGAGTTTTTGCCTTTATTTATTTAAATTATGTATCCCAAACTGAACATATCACCTTTCCCTCCACACCTGCTCCACCTGATATATTCTCTAATTGGCATTATTGCCGATCAGGCACTCAAGCCAGAACCCTGGGAAGTTGTACTTCTCTCTGCCTCCCAAACTCTTCTACCCTCAACATCTATTCTTTCTGATCTCCCATTTTCATTGCCACCACCATCTGTAGCTGGGACTACAGATGCTCTTTACCTGGCTGACAGTAATGGCTTTATTAGTCTCCTACATTTGCTCTGAACCCTCTCTAATCAAGCCAATAAAAAGGACTGATCATATCTCTCGCTTAAAATCATTCAATGACTACACAGAGTGCTCAGAATAAAACTCAAACTCTACATGACTACATGATCCCC